ATAGTGATAACTTAAAGTGATAACTTAAAGTACCTTTTTCCACAGCAATATATAATATATCTATATATTTATAAATGCTGCTACATAAAACTGAATCAGTCACCACACCTTTGAGATTAAACCATTAAAACTTTTATACTCACCCAATATACATAGAAAATTTTTGTTGAATAATATATTAGTAGTAGAGAAAATTCTTAATTTTAAGTTTTTCATTGACTATAGCGACATTTTTCCGCCTTTTTGCAATTTTGAAATATTGACATTAATGATTATAAAATACCATGTGACATGGCAAAGCAAGCGACATAACTTCAAAAGTCACTATTGTTTATGGTGGTCATAATCAAAGAACGTATTCGATGGTATAAAAAATTTTGTGACGGAGAGTTTGATTTAAAGACCAACCACGTTTTAGACGAACTGTCAAGTTTTAATCGGACGAGCTGCAAGCATTATTAAATCAAAACACAGCACAAAAAGAACTTGCAAAACAGCTGGAAATCAGCCAAAAAGCCATTTCTAATCATTTGCATCAAATTCGGAAAGATTTGGAAAGAAGAAAAGTGAATGCCATATGAATTGACTGAAGAGAACAAAGTATGCTGGTCGACACCACACTGCTTTTGTTAAATCAGTTTAAACAGAAGGATTTTTTGCATCAAATCATCACAGGTGATGAAAAGTGAATTCTATGCTAAAATGCCAAGTGTGAAAAATCATGGATAGATCTTGGCTAACTGACAACATCCATTGCAAAGCCCAATATTTACACCAAGAAGCTTTTACTCTGTATCTGATGGAACTGGGAAGGTATACTATATTATGAACTGCTGAAACTGGGTGAAATAGTCACGTCGGACCGCTACCAATAGTATCTCATCAATTGGAACAATGCATTGGAGGAAATAGAGACATTTACTGGATAAGAAAACCGCATCCTGCTATATGACAACGTGTAGCCACATACTGCTGAGGCGATGAAGCAAATTATCTTCGCGTTGGACTGGGAACTTCTCCCGTACGCGGCATGGCTCCTTTCGATTACCACTTATTTCGGGCGATACAATATCACTTGGTTGTTGATACATATCTCAGAATAAAAGAGGAAATTTGAAAAGCATCGATGACTTTATCACTTTGAAGTCGGTGAGGTTTTATCACCTGGAAATTCGTAAGATATCCGAATGATAACAGAAGGTCATCGATAATAACAAGGAATATTTTAATGGTTCAACTCTTTTTGTTTGTTCCAAATAAAAATTTGATTTTGCCATAGAAAGCTAAGAACTTTCTACTACTACTAATAATAGCATACTAATAATATATAATTTACAAGACTTGTATTGCATAAGTGGGGATATATCTATGCTAAAGTCAAAATTTATATATGACATCAATAAATAAACAGTTTAATCAGATATATTTTGTAACCTGATATACAAATTTATCATACGTACACGGAAAAAAAGATTTGGTTGAATTAATCAAATATCTGGTCGAATATGAACGATCCAGAAATTCCGATTGAATTAATCTGAATTCTGTTTAAGTCAACCAAAAATCTTGTTAACTTAAACAGAATTCGGGTTACTTCAATCGGAATTTCTGGATTGTTCATATTTGACCAGATATTTGCTTAATTCAACCGAAATTTTTTTTTCCATGTACAAAAAAATATTAAGAAGGTAAAAAATAAATACTGATAAATGTATTTTCGATGCTACACTTAGGATTGTTTGTTATTTCTAATACTTGTATGAAAGACATTTTTATGTCATATATGAGAATCATTTCTTTATTGTGTAATGTATAATATTATTGTATATGCGCCTTTATGAGATTTGGCAGAGAGAAAAGCTGAATATTTGTTGCGCTTCTAGATAGTGTTAAGCAATTAACCGTGTCGATCGTGTTACATTGCTTATCATTATTTGCAAAAAGAGTTGTATAAATAAATTTATTGATTTTTGATTAACGAAAACAAAATTTCTGGTTCTCATAAACCAAATTCAGTTCTAAAAGCCAAAAATTCTGTTTCCTCCACTCACAATGCATTTGGCTCGTTCATTGTCAGACAATTCAACCAAACTTTCTCCCTGTAACGTTTGGCTCGTTCATTATCAGATAATTCCAACTTTCTCCCTGTAACGTAATGCATGGGAGATATAATTTAGTATCGAAATATCTTTTTATACACGTTTCAATGCTATTGAAAAAGCTATACTTCTTGGGAACAATTTCTTCTGCGTGCAGTTTCATTTTTTGCTCACTAAATTTCCTATACTTTCTCCAAATTTTTTCTACATTATAAGTACGTCCTAACCCGACGAGACTATTATGGACTTCTCCCCTTAAAGGAATGGTGGAGTCGATGACGAACTCGAACAATGTCACTAACATAAACGCTATCTTTTTCATATTTCTTGTATATACAGAACTTGCATAAATGTGTATTGCTTTGTTTTACCATATTCAACGAAAAACCTAACCATATGTGTAGAAATCTTTCTGCAAACTTTTTCGATATTTTTAAGCTTCTAAATATATTGGGTTGTCGGAAAAGTCATGACGAATTTTTGCAACAGATGGCGCTAGTTCATTTGTGGAAGTACTAGAGTCATTCGCATCTATGTTATTGCTATGTCATTTGACAGCTGACAGTTCTAGCTTAATTCTAAAAAAAAAAAAAAATTGAGCGATTTGGTTGAGTTTTGGAGATTTTATAACAAGTTGAAGATGGAAGACCAAACTATGCATTTTCGCCATATATTACTGTTTTGCTTCCATAAAGGGAAGAACGCGCGTCAAGCTTGTGAAAAGTTGCGTAAAGTTTACGGTGACAATGCTGTACAAGAACGTCGATGCCAACGATGGTTCACGAAATTCCGTGCTGGTGATCTTGATCTCAAAGACGCTTCTCGGTCAGGGAGGCCTATCGAGGTTGATGATGACAAAATAAAGACATTGATCGAGTCAAACCCACGTTATATGACACGAGAGATTGCAGAAACATTGAACATCCATCATTCAAGCGTTCACGACCATCTGAAGAAGCTGGAATACGTAAGCAAGCTCGATATTTGGGTTCCTCATGAACTCAAAGAAGTTCATTTGACGGCGCGTATAACATTTGCGATATGCTCATTAAATGTGAGGAAAACGATCCTTTTTTGAAGCGACTGATAACTGGTGATGAGAAGTGGATTGTTTACAACAATGTAGTGCGCAAACAGTCTTGGTCCCGACATGATGATTTGCCTCAAACGACATCGAAAGCAAACATTCATCAGAGGAAGGTTATACTCTCAGTGTGGTGGGATTTTAAAGGTCGTGTTTTTTGAGCTCCTACCAAGGAACCAAATAATCAATTCGAATGTGTACTGTCGGCAATTGGACAGTTTGAACGAGTCCATCATCTAGAAACGTCTAGAGCTCGTTAATCGTAAAGGAGTTATGTTCCATCACGACAACGCGAGATCACACACAAGTTTGATCACCCGTAAAAAATTATTGGAACTTGGATGGGATGTGTTGCCATATCCACCATACTCGCCTGACTTTACGCCATCAGACTTCCACTTGTTTCGCTCTCTTCAAAATTCCTTGCGTGGTATAACATTCAATTCAGATGAGGCTGTAACTCAGTACTTTGTTCAATTTTTCGCCGATAAAGACAGGTCCTTCTATGAACGAAGAATTATGAAGCTCACTAAAAGATGGCAAAAAGTTATCGAACAAAACGGGCAATATATCATTGATTGATCTTTGTTTTTTATATAAATAAATGACTTTTGAAAAACATAGAAAAAATACGTCATGACTTTTCCGACAACCCAATAAATGCAAAGGTAGAGCAATGTTCTTCCAAATTTTTCTGTTTGGAGCATCCACACTTTCAGTATATACAAGCTGCGGAATTTTTGGATTAGACAAATATTACGTTAACTGACAGCTTGAGATTTCATATTAAAAATTTTTTGTTCGTTTTCGTCACATATCGAGCAATGCTCCTATTTATTTTTGCACGTACTTTTATTGCATAAAAGTATTTGTAATTCTGTGTAACTAATACGACGTAAATTTTACAGAAATGTCAGTGTTCTGTCGGTAAAGTTTTCAGTTTCAACATCCCCTTAATGAATGTGTGTATCTTGGAGAAAAATTCTCTGCGCGTAGAAATAGAAGTGTGTGATAGCAAATGTTTTGGAAAGAACAATAAAACGCACGGAGGAGAAAGTAAGGATTAAGCATATCAAAGTAAGACCACGACTTGGTTTTTCGAGCCTGTGTCCATGAAAAAGAAAGAAAAAGAGAAAGAAGCAGGGAGAAGGAAATTTATGCATTTGTTCATTACGAAAGGCGTGATTCCGAAAATTTTCGGAGAAGAAGTATATCTGAGACAAGTGCGAGTTTATCGCACATATGCTCATCTGTCATATCGTTGGTGCTTAGCTAATTTGCAACGCATACCATGCGATATATGTATACACACACAACATGTACACGAGCACGCACGCACATGCACTCCGATCGTTGCGTATATGTCTTTACATGCGGCGCATATCAATTAGGTCACGGCTCGTTCTATTTCGGTAACGGAAGGGTAGTGAGGACCCTCCGATGGAGATTCATTTCTATCAATTTCTTTCTGCATCGCACTCTGCGTTGTGTCGGCCAATTGGTTCCAATTTTCGCCCGCACATCGTTTACATATTTATATCATTAGCCTCGTTTCACTCGGACACTTGATTCACGATAATCATCAATTGATGTGATCCCCTTCATCCCCTCCCTATCTGCCTCACTATCTTTACTTCTCCTGCTCTTTCCTTCTCTCTCTCCCGCCTTCCTAGCTTCATATAAACCTGTTCCCCCTGTAAACGAATAATGCTCTCCGCTAATCCGCAATATCGTCATATCATTCCCCCTTCGAGCTTTTAATGCATTTTTTATTTAGAGAGACAGCGCGCGATAAATTGTCGGCATATCGATTTCAGAATACAGCGTCTTACAGTATGAAAGAGCAAAACGAGCAGAGGATGACAGATATAGAGGACATTGACTCGCCTGGCATGGGTATTCGTGTGAGAACTACCGCCCCAGTGTGTTACGGGAGGAACATGACATTTCCTCGGCCGACTTCGTCTTACGCACATAGGCACGAACTTCCAGCTATAGTGACCGAGGGAGAGAGCTGCAGAATTCTTGCCGAGGTAAAAGGCGACGATATACGCTCGCGATACCGCCATGCTGGGCGGATATGGCTCGGAAGAACTTTAATCTTGCGTTTAGGCTTTACGTTGCGCCAGCGTCTCTCTTTCTCTCTTGCACGACCTAACTAGCTTAATTAAATTTCCTTTCTGTGCCGTAGTCGCGCGAGACTCTGATCGAAAGAGTGAGAAAAAGAGAGGAACGGCGAACTACTAAGCCAAGTCGATTTAATCTGAACTTTGTTGGCGCAACTGAAATTATTACGTTGTCTCCGCTTTCACGTAGTAATACGTATTTCTTTCTTGTTTTTGTATCGGAAATGTTGCTTTATGTTTTCTTATGACATCTCTCTCTCTCTCTCTCTCTCTCTCTCTCTCTCTCTCTCATTCTCTCTCAACGTCTCACTTGGCTCATTATGACACTCGAGAATCAGATTATGCAAGAATAGGCAGAACAGATATCTCCGTTTGACTCGTTCTAGCAACAAGAGGGCAATTCCTGCAGCGACGGCCAATTGTCGGGCGTAATGCCGGACGTAGCGATGGCGACGGCCTCCTTCGGCGCCCTGCAGTTAATAGAGGAGCAGGAATTGGAATTGGATCTCGGTGACGGGGCGTCGCACCTAATGCCACATGTCTCCCCGTCGAGCGGGAGCATCGAAGCGCACCGGTCATCGCTGCCTCATCAGCATCAGAGACATTTCTCCGGCCCGCCACCACCACCATATGTGTATCATCGTGCTGGCACTGCCTTACCGAGGTTTATTTGAAATTTATATACAATATGCGGAAGCGAACAACGTGGCAACTACTGATTCCCTTCGCCCTCTCGCATTCCCTCGTCCCCGCCACCCCTGCCCGTTCCTCCCTCCCCTAGGCTGCTCCTTCCGCCGCCACCTCCCCGCTAACCCTTATTACATAGTCCGCTACGTAGCGTGTATCGATCAAATCTTGTTATTGCGGGTACAAATTTACTACGGACGAATAATTGTATGTACATTTTTATTTAAAAAGCAAGCTTAAGAAGATAGAAAGTACTTGGTTTAAGTGCATTTGTAACTTTAGCGAATCCGGGAGTTATACGCCGCGAACGTACAGATAGGAAGGAAGGGAAGGAAAAGGAGGGGAACCCATGCTTGCCGAGCACGGTGCGAACTTTGCGAGTGCTCCGCTCGTGTGAAAAAAAACGGAGGTTTCTCGCTGTACAATATTATATAAATATAATGACGACGAAGTGCAATCGTGTACGAGACAAAATGAGAACAGAAAGGAAATGCGATTGTGATTTATACATATAAATATGTAATCGTGATATAAGTGTATATGTGGGTGTACTTATGTGTGTTTGCGTCGTGCACGTATGCGTGTGTATATGCGGAAATTGAAGTGTAGCTCGCACTGTTCCGGCGGAAAAGTGTCAAGACTGTTTAAGCAAGAAAGTCACGGGGGAAGGTAAAGAAAGAGAAGGAACAATGTGTGTACGGGATATTGAATAAATCGCGCCTTGTTCACAGTTTATCACCTTTGTTCCATAATTACATGACGGAAAGTGAAAGTATCGTGTATTCGTACGATTCGTTCTTTCTTGCACCGTAAGAGAAAGCGTGGTGAACTTTTACGAGAATGAAGCAAGCCGCGAAGCGCTTGATGACATTTTGCCGTTCTGAACTTTTTAATTTCTCTTCTCTCTCTCTCTTCTGTCTTTTTCTCTCTTTCTCTTTTTCTCTTCTAGGGCAGTTTCGATGTATGACGGGCTATAGTAAGGCTGTAAGTATACAAGAGAAATTCAATCGATAAAACATATATCGCACTCAGAGATGACGTCCGGGGCGCCTCGGGTCGTAAAAAGCGTGCGTGACGTCCGCGATATTTAATGGGTTAATTAATTATCGCTAAGTGCCCAGGTGCATGAGAATTTTCTAAGAAAAAAATTTCCATGAATTTAAATGTATACACATCGCCGCTGGCCTTGTCGACGCGGCTTCATTGTAATATATCTACAAACAGATTATACAAACATACCCTGCGTGCTATATACGAACTGACCCAGAAGTCGTGTTCGTCCTGTCCGAGAGTGAGTCAAGCTCCGAGAGTGAGTTAAGCTTGTCTGAAATTACGAAAAACCACGATCGTTCTCTCTTTAAGATATTAATTCCCGTATTGATAGGCATTACTTAAAACTTGTCCCGCGTGAGACATTTAGAGCTGAATTTAGAGTTAGACTTGAGTTTTTTAGTTGAACTATACAATCATATATTAAATTAAATTTATAAAAGCAATTCAACTGAGAAAGTCACATCTAATTTTAATTTTAAATCTGAATATCTCACCTATAAGTTTCAATGTAATGACTATTAATACATATTTAACAACTTTCGAATTGCAAACGATTGAGTACTTCACGTCCTCGACGGACTAAAGGATGCAAATAGAATCTTATTCCTAACTTTGTTTCAAATGGAGCTTAATGGACATCTGAATTCAATTTGGTGCTGATGATTAGAGACGGTAATGTGAGATAATGAAAATTAAAAATTCAGGGGATGGTACTCTCGATGAACTTCGAGTCTTCTGGATCGTTGCGTGTATATCCCGTTCCGTGAAAATTCTAAAATATCAGGCTTTGCTTCAATTTTGCCACGTATAATGCTATTAGTATACTGAAAAACGCGCTACTTTCACTTTTGTCAGAAAAACAACGATCAGGCGGGAATTAATCACCCTAAACGTACCGAGATGTAAGGTTAATATTGATGGATAGTAACTATTCTTTATTTAATATGGCTCCTCTGTATCGACATGGGATGTAATTATTGCTAAGATACACTCGATAGAGAGCTCGTTTAAAAACATGTATTCTCGAAGAATTCTTTTACCGTCCTTATGTTAGGTACAGTACTTGAAATCGTTGTCTGCTGCGTAACATCGACACAAGTTTCGTTCGTAAAAGCGGATTAATATCTACATATTATATTCGTTTCGAGTCATTCAATAAAAGGATGTATCTATAGATAAAACGACGAAATTTGGCGTTGTCGGCGTTGTTGTTATCGGCGACCGACATTAATTGTGATATTATTCGAGAAAGTCATTGGTTCGATCATTGTACTTTATAATAAACTTCTGTTGCCGATCTGGGTCGGAGGAATTTGTTATTGTGCGAAGTATCATTAACTGTCACGGGACTCATAATCTACAGATACTATTTGTCTGCTTTTCAAAAAAGTGTTGTAAGCCGAGTTTGCTATTTTCTGGTATAATTATCAAATCTGTTAAGCAGAAACTGTTAAGCTGTGTGTGACACCAGATCGTGAATTTACGATCGCGTCGAGTAATGTAATATCAGCGATAGTAGACTTCGTGAATCCACGATCGATCGGCGAAGTTATAATTTAATGCAACTAGACCAACTTTTAAGACCAGAATAAAAGGATAGTTATTACGTAGATAGATTAATACTGTATAGACTGAGATATATCGCGCGAGAGTAGTATTTTGACATTCATATAGTTTCTGCGTCGCAAAAACGATTAAAGTAACTTCCATTCGGACATCCATGATCCTTAGTATATATACCTTCCATCCCTTACAATTGTTAATTTATAAATTATTAGGATGTTATATATATATAACATTATATAAACACACACACACACACACATACACACACACACATAATTCTTTACAGTCTGATATCTTAAAAATTAAGAGAGATATAAAAGTGTTTTCAACAAAAGTTATAGGATATCAAAGGAAAAGATATAGCAGTATTTATTTGATCTTAAGATGATTTTGTATCGCTTTTGTAAAAGCTTTATTTAAGCTAATTTTAATTTTTTAAATGGAATCATATGGTTTTTTGGCGTAAACTGATTTCTCTGGTCATTCTGCATATAAAAATATTGGGGTAAAATCATCGAAAAATTATTACTTTCTGTGTATTTTACATTTTATCATGTTGCTTTTCAATATAAGATATGAAATATCTTTTAAATTATTCAGTTTTTTACTATTTCATTTTAATACTTTTGTAGAATAATCGATAAAATTGATTGTTGTGAAAAAAAAAAATATATATATATACAGAAACTTTAAATAAAATTCCGTGTATTAATACAAATTTATTAATACACCAGTATACAAAGATTAATATCACCGAACAATTTTTCTCGTCATTCTACGTACAAAAGTATTGAGTGAGGCGGTCGAGAAGTGAATAGTTTATAAAATATTTTATTAAATAATAACAAAATTAAATGTAAAATACCTCGAGAAGCATTAATTTTTCGATAGTTTTATCTTAGTATTTTATATGCTGAATGAATAGATGAATCAATTTATGCTGAAAAAACCATATGATTCTATTTAAAAAATGAAAGTTGACCTTGACAGGGATTTTGAACATTTTAAGATCAAATAAATATTCTCTTTTCTCCCTTCGATATCCTACTTTTATTGGAAGCATTTTTTCATATATTTTTTAATTTTTGAGATATCAAGCTGTAAACAATTGTGTGAGACACCTTGTGTGTATATGTATATATATATATATATATATATACACACACACACACACACACAAAACACACACACACACATACATACACATATATACATACATACATACATACATACATACATACATACATACATACATACATATATACATACATACATATATTTATATATACGTGTAATTAAAATATCCAAATAATTTATAAATCAACAATTTTATATGTGTATATATATATATATATATATGTATATATATATATATATATATATATATATATATATATATATATATATATATATATATATATATATATATATTTAGTTGGCCGCTGTAAAATGAGAAATTTCGGATAGTTTATCTTTTTCATAACTCACACGATATAAAAGGCTCGCTGTGCACACATATACACATATTATATATATATATATATATATATATATATATATATATATATATACATGTGTGTATACATATATGTATATATATATATGTGTATTTGAAAAAAAGTATATATAAATATATATATATTTAAAAATAAAGTTTAATAAATATTTCAGAATGAAAAAAATTCACTATTTCTTCTCTATATATTCCTAGTAATTCACATTATTATTTCTATAAATATTAAATTACTGACGAAATGATGATATTTTATTTTTTGTGCAATACTAATTACCGTTATATTTATTGAAAAATACATCGATAAAGTATAAAAGTGTATGTACTTACGGGAGCGTAGAACACACCATTCGACAAGATTCAGCTTCGTCATATTTGCTTCTGACGTCACAATACCATTACGTTTACGCGCGTAGAATAGATGGGCCGCACAGCATATAAAGTCGGCGACGACTTGTATCGTCCAAGTAAAAATCCTTGTTGCCGGTGCGTATTTCTACCATTTTGTCTAAAAATAACCGAGCAAAGATCTTACCACGTGAAAAAATACACTGTTCAATACAGATAAAGGGCTATTAGTTAGCCGAAATGATTTTAATCTCCTCTCGCTCAATTGACTTCCTTAAATATTAATTTTAAATATTTAATGCGTATAGATTGTTATACAGAAGTATTATGTAGAATCGATATTCATTAAGAGCGAAGCGGAAATTGTATCTTTAAGATTCTTGGCTCCTCACCGCGCAACTCTTGATTGATGACGTCAGAAGCGAGACAACACACACTAAAAATTCTTGCAAAATACGTTGAAATAAAAAGATATATCCATAAAATGACACTTGCAATCGATTGAGCGTATTTGTAAAATCATCTGAATACTTCTTTTTTGCTATGGCAGGGCTCGGTATTAGTTGCCCATTCCGGCTGATACTCAGGAGCTACATTTTTTATCTTCCCCTTGCCGCGAGCGGGCCACAAAAGTGTCGGTCGAGCCTCCAAGCTTGAAGCCGCGACTGGCCGCGACAATCATTTTCGTGGCCCGCTCGCGGCAAGTGGAAGATAGAAGGCGTAGTTTCCGAGAATCGGCCGAAATGGGCAACTAATTCCGAGCTCTACTTTATGGTGATTATTCCTGTCGTTCTTCTACACTGAGAGAAAAATATAGTTGCTTTTCGCGTCAACTATACTTTTTTGTAATTTTAACCAAAAAAATAATTAGAAGAACCGTTTTTCTAATAATACTTACTAAAATAATGGTTTTTCTAACTATTTTTGTGGTTAAAATCACAAAAGAGTATAGTTGACACCAAAGAGTGGTCTCTTAGTGTACAAAACATAAGTCTCTACGAAGCAGCGCCAGCATACCTCGTTATCAAGTCCGTCCGACTGCTTCTTCGTTTGGTGTCAGAAACAATTGGAATTTAAGCGAGCTGCAGATTATTTGTAGAGATCACAAGTCGCCTAGCTTTTTGTTCTAACAATCAATAAATTATCACAAAGTTAACATGACATGCAATCTACCTTTTTAATCTAGCTTTTTTGATTATATCACATTAATTTTACAATTATTTATTGATTGTCAGAGTAAAAGGAAAGCGCTCGAACTATTTTACAGGTTTGCTCGATCGACTGTAATTATTGTCTCGTGAACATATCATTTTACTTCAAGAATTTGCAAGGATTTTTTAGTATAATATATTTTCTTGCTTCTAACGTTGTAATTCAAAATGGTCGCGACGAGAAAACAGAAACATTCATTGTGTTCTTCATTATTTGCATCTTGTCGATTTTTATTGAATTCACTAAATTTTTAATTCTATTAGGATTGCTCCAGTTAATCAAATTTGTCTCCTGATTATGAAATATGTACATAATATCGAAGACGCAAAAAATTCACTTTTAAATCAAATGTTATTTTTAGTTTGTGTTTATAATAAAAATACGCCGGAACGAGGACAGGGAGGATCGGTGAGCATTTAAAATTACTCAGGTATGTTTAATGTTTATTTCCTTGCAAAATGTTGGTTGTACATAATATCGTTATAAGCGTTATCGATAAACGACGCACGCCGAGTTATCGAGATTGCATTAATTTGCATGCGTTTATGTTACGTCTAGAAAACAAATGAAATTATCAGACGAGACGCTACTTAGCGTTCGATATTCTTCTCACTGTGAAGAGATAAAAAAATAAACAGAAAAATCGACATACTACAAACGACGCGATTATATCGCTTATTACCACTATCCAAGAAATTTTGCGGTATTTTGACGAAGTAACAAATACATTATATCTAAATTACTTAGTAATAATAGTATGCGTAGTACTGAAGTCCCTTTATCCTTTCACGCCTCCTTTCGTGTGTTTCTGTAACATAATTTGTTTTATTATTAAACTATTAATTTATTAAATTATGTAAAATATAAAAATTGTTTTGTGTAACTCTATTTTGTGGTGATCACTTGGGTCCATTATCAGCAAGAGAAATTAGCTAAAAATAGAAAAAGGTGAAGAGAAGACTCGAAAAATATACCGTTAACGCAAAAAAAGTTACGAAAAAAAAATTAATAAGACGAGTTTCGGAATTTCACGCTTGTCCACATATTCAGAAGATTAATGACTACAACAACACGCGACCGGAAATATATAGTTAATAGAGTAAAATTAATTAATTATATAAGGTAAACACTATTATTAGCATTTTCTTTAGTTAGTCTATAAAAAACTGATTTTTTATGTAGTTAAGCTTTTATGTAGTTAAGCTTTTATGTAGTTAAGCTTCATCCTGCACTCGGGTTTCAGAGAAGATTTTTGCAACTAAAATTGTAAACAAGTGCCGTTGGTTACAAGAGAAATCGGATTTTTCTTGAGCGTTAATGACTAAAAAAGATGCCTTAATAATTGTGTAGTTTACTTTATCTCGCGCCCCGCATAGAAAATCTCGAAAATTCAAAACAAAAACTTACCGCGAGTTGTTCCTTCTCCCTGCGGCCTACGACCTTACAGTGAGAAATTGCAGAGTAAGAGTAAGGCGGCTGCTCGCACATGCAATCATATTCGATTTCGACGTTCATAAGATTTTCGACGATCTTTCTGGCGGTAACCTGGGCAAACTGTCTCTTCTGATTTGGTTTAGCGTCTAGCAAGTTCGTGGAAATGAATGCTGCTCCGCCAGACTGCAACAACATTGTACAACTTGAGGTGTGTTTTCTTAATAAATTATCGTTTTCGTTTGTTATGTTACTTTAAATAATACGCGAGAATAACAAATTACCCAAACAATGTAAATGTCCAAGAGACATCGTAGAGACACCTATTAGACATTCTACTTGTCTTAGATGTTTTTTAACATGTCTTTAGGGCTTCTAACTTCTTGTATAACTTCTAATTAATAACGTCAAAAGCGGAAAAATGCATGTTCAAAATTCTTGCGGAATATGTTAAAATAAAAGGATATGAACATAAAATAACATTTGATCGATTAATTGTAAAATATTCCGAAAACTTTTTTTACTTTAACAATCAATAACTTTCTGTAAACGTTAAGATGCAACCTTCTTTTCTCATGCCTTCTTTACTTTTTCTTTTATTTTCTTATTTATCTTTTTTTATGATTTTGCCACATTAATTTTATACCTATTTATTAATTGTTAAGGGAAAATATAGTTTTTGGAGCATTTTATAAGTGTTATGTTTAAGAGAGCGTTCAAGAGTTTAAATGAAATGTTTTTTACTCAAAGAAATGTTTTGCTGATCTAAGTAGAATTCTAAATGTCATAGTTAGAATTTATCGTTTTTTGTATCTAGAAAATTATCTGTGGTATGTAGAATTGACAATAGCAGTATTCTCGCAATATCTGCAAGTAAATTTAGATAGATGTAAAGATTATACATTTGTTTGTCCCTCGTCACTAAACTTTTCTGTCTACCACAGTCAATTTTTATAAGAAATGTGAATTTCCAAATAATTCAGGTAGTAATTCTGTCTCTCTGTTTTTGTCATCTATATTAATTAAATACAAAATATAGGCGATATTGCAATATTTTCTAATCATTTCTCCATTTTAGTTATTTTATCGTATTTAGATAATTTCCGCTATGACTGCAAGACCATTTTTTTCAGAGTTTTATTCAAATATTTTTTTATAAATAGCTTGGAAGAATTTTCAGTGTACGATTTTTCAACGCCTCTGGCATCACGATTCAACATGACCGCGGCGAGTACCTAGAAGTTTTAAGCTCGGAATTAGTTGCCCATTTCGACCGATTCTCAGGAGCTACGCCTTCTATCTTCCCCTTGCCACGAGCGAGCCCCGAAAGTGACGATCAAGCCTCCAAGCTTGAAGCCACGACTGGCCGCGATCGTCATTTTCGTGTCCTGCTCGCGGCAAGGGGAAGATAGAAGGAATAGCTCCTGAGAATTGGCCGAAATGGGCAATTAATTCCGAGGTCTGTTTTAAGATATACTCTATATATTTGTGCTGTCTCAGTATTGACTGTTCTAAGAATTCAAGATAATTTCTGTTCCGATTTGTGATAGATCGCCCTGGGGTAAAAAAATTTCTTTTTAAAAATCTTCCAAAAATATTGGCAGAATTTTTTAAATTTTACATTTATAGAAAAATCTGAGAAAAATATAAAAATTTGTTAAATGTAAATATTTTTCACACACAATAAGATATGTGTTCAGAAAATACATCCCACATAGCAGATATCCAAAATATATCATAAGAATATCCTAAAGATATATTTGGGATATGTGATATCTTCAAGATATCCCTATGATGTATTTGGGATATTCTTGCTGTGTGGGATATAAATGGAAAATTCCAGGGTTGGATAAGTTAACTTTTTTTTTTAAACTAAGTTAAGTTAAAGTTAATGGCTTTGAAAATTTAACTTAATTAAGATAAAGTTAATCCATAATGAAATTAATTGAATTAAAAGTTAAGTTAATAAAAAAAGTAATTAAAAAGTTAAAAGTTAAATTTGTTTCATTTCATGACTTTAGAGTTTCAATTTTATAAATAACGGAAAAAACAAATATACACTTTATTTCGAAACATGTTTTATTTACAGATATTTATTAAATTTAAGTAATAAAGTTTTTTTAAAAGGACCCGGCACTAATCATATGAAAAAAGTAATTTTTAGTCGAATTGACTGAAACTATGATATTTTGTAGCTTATGAGGTGCTGATAAAAAATCTTCAACAAAAAGTGTGAAAAAATGGACAGCTTTTTTCTAGCACTATTAGAAAGTTGCTATTTTAGGTCTAACCGAACCTTTATGGCATGATTAACTTCAAGATAATTGAATTAAAAGTTAATAGTTACCGATAAAATGTAGCTAAATTAAATTAAAAGTTAAGAGTGTAAAATGTAACTAAGTTAAGTTAAAGCCCTTTAACTTTTTAACTTAACTTTTAACTTTTTAACTAATTACTACCCAACCCTGGAAAATTCTAATAACTTGCATAGATTTTTTCTCATGTTTATTCAGAGTTTGAAAAAAATTTGTATTCGTGTAAAAAATACAAAATATTTCATTATTACTCAGAATATTAATATAAGAAATTTTTAAAGATATAGATTTTTTTTTTATATTAATTCAAATAAAATTAATTCAAATAAAATTAAATCAAGTAAAATTAATTCAAACAAAAGTTTATATATCGAAGTTTATGTATCGAGTTTATGTTACATATGTATTTTTTAGTACAATTCCATTCATAATAGAAAATTTTAAAATGTCAAATGTTTGAGAAATTTGAAAAAATTTGAAAAAATTTGTTTTTTAACTTTAAGTTACTTGCGATTTTTTAGTTGCAAATTTTTTTATTTTTTTATTTTCAATGTATTACGGAATGCTTTTAAGTGTATAAGTTCTAGCATAAGTATTCTTTCAATTATATAAACTTTTTGTGCATATATTAAGCATCCTGAAAATTTAAGAAAAATTAGATAAAATGAAATATTATTAAAATGAAAAAAATTAATAAGTTTAGATTACAAGTATATTTTGGAGAGAATCCTATGAAGATATTTCACAGATTTTCTTAAAAATGAATTCTAAATATTGAAAAATACTTTACGTGTTTTAAAATTTCAAAATTTTTCCGAAATATGTTCCAGTTCGTATAAAAAATATGAAAAATTTCTGAGAAAATCTTAGAGTTTTTCTAAAAATTCTAAGAAATTAAATGAAAAATTCTGAGATTTTTCCATCAGAATCCTTGATTGGTTCTTTTCATTTCATTCATATACTTACATTGATAGCAAAGTCGGCACACACGTCTTTGGAGGGAAGCACCATGTTGTTTCTGAGCTCGCTGTTTCCACTCAGTGGCTTTTTCTTGCTGTCGGCTAGTACATACACGCTATCATGGTCGTAAGCGACGATGTTCTTCTGCGTTTTACCGGAAACTTGAATGTCGCCGGGTTGGTACACGTGATGATATGTCAGACCTAGACTTCGGTATGCTTTCATTCCTTGGAAAAGTCTCAACTGTTGTAACTGCAACAACGGAAATGTTGGGGTCAGTTTCATCAGCACTGAATTTCTTAAGTTGGTAATCAAACTTTACTCAGATAGCACAAATGTCTAAAATACATTTTACAGACATCCCAAAGATATCTAAAACAAGTAGAATATTTTTCAAACATCTCTAAGATGTCTAGACATTTATATTGTATGGATCAAATTAATACACCGTCATGCGACATTTTATATTTATTGAGTCAGTAGATTCTACTAGTAGATTTACTAGTAGAAAGTCAAGCTTGGTTTGATTTTTGATATTATTGTATTTAACCTTTTGAGTGTGTGGACGTATAAATGCGTCCGACAAATGTCATCGTAGATTGTGTACGCACATAGTATACGTAACATGAACTACAGGTATTGAGTAAAATTTTCTTCAAAAAGGACATTTTAGAATGCAGAACTCTAAATTCAAATGATTAACTTGTTAATCCTACTCTTAACTGATAAAAAAAACTTGACGAGAAAAAATCCAAGAAATTTAGTTGCACATCTAATATTACTCAGTGCTGTGTATACCTATATAGAGTAAAAGTAGGCCGCTTTATCTTCTTCAAAGAAGGCAGAAAGTCGAAACGAACTTTTTAACCGACGCAATACTATAACAGACACTGATAAGTTTCCCACGCACCCAATCGGTCGACTATCGATCAGAATGTTCCGAGAGTTCGTGTTAGAAAGGACTAGGGAAAGCTTACAGATAGCGGGAATGGGCTCTTCACGCACGGAGTGGTGATAATTCCGATAACAGTCTTAACCGCGCCAGGTCTGTATGGATAGCGGGTGGCTTCCACATAAGCGTCAGTCAGCTCGAAAGTGCCGAGTTCTATATCCAACTTTTGACCGATATACTCCAGCCGCTTCAGAATATTGCCAGTCTTAGCTTCCTGCAAGTGCATAAATGGCTATGCGTTATTGAGAAGCTCCATAATGAAGCTCGATAACATTATATCACAGTGATCCTACTGGACATCGCATGCATTACGGTATATCGTTACACGAGTTTACCTCGAAACTAATGATGGGATCTGACGGCTCGAATTTCATGTTCTTCACGTCACCCTCGATGTTGAGTTTGCCGCCGACAGTGTAATGCAGCGGGAACTCCAATTGCTCGCCGAAACCCACCAAGCCAATATGGACGTCGCTGTTAAACAAAGTGTGATTAAAATGATAATGTATCACACACATATAAAAATAATACACATATGTATATATTCGTGTCGAGATGTAAATTCGAAAAGCAATTTGATTTGAAATTTTGATGCTACTTTGACGCTCTTAACCCGTAACAGGTACAATGGAGTCCCAGGGATCCCAACTAATTTTTATTTTCGTGATAATTCCTAAACTATCCACTGTATGGCGCTAATATCTTCCTTTCGTAGTACCTTTTGAGTAATAGTTTTCAGTATGACAGAAGAAAAGATCGAGTTATTTGTAAGTAGCTGTGAATTATATGTATTTGTTTTTCGTCTGGAGTCACAGTGACCCCATTGTACCGTTAACGTTACTTTTATGAAAATAATTTTCTTAATCTTCAGCTCAATATGACTCATTCTTCACGCAAAAGAATAAAAGCTCTTGCCTTTCAGTTAGTAGAACCTGAACTTAAGAGACGTCTTACAACTCAATATATTCATAAATTTTTCGCCTTTTAAAAATTGAAGAAACTGAAAGATCTAAAATTATTTTGCCATCCAGAGTAAGATGTAATAAATGTCCTAGAAGTAAAGATATGAAGTCCACAGAAATATATGTTAGATGCAATGAACTAATATGCACCAAATGTGCAAGCACTATCTGTAACAATTGCATCTAAAAACCCTCTAAGATTTTAATATTGTATTTAATTTAACAATACTTGTTTATATTTTTTATATAATCTATAATTTGTGGACTTAGATTAAAATATAAATTTTTTCTTTTTCTGATTATTTGTCTTTCAGTGTATTTTATTTCAACACTGTCCACATTGTGTTCATTTTATAATCAGTTAACGTTTTCTTTTAGATTAATGAAAAACTGAGACTGTTATTATATATGTCTAGTTGTAATATAATATTCGTAAATTATTTTCGAACTATAAAGCGTTTTTCTTTCTACCTTTTATTATCATGTTAAAAATGGTAAAAATTTATTGAAGTCTGCCAGACTTCATTGTACCTATAGCTTGACTAAAAAGGCATCGTACCTGTTACGGTTAAAGATAATTTACGCCTACTTAGACGGTTTATAGCCTAGGTAAAACCTACTTTGATGATATTGACTTCTTTTTTGAACCTTTAACTCTACCTTGTCAAAATTTGGATGCTATTTTGACGTTCTTAAAAATAGTTTGAGCTTATTTAGATAATCTACAACCTGATGAAACCCATTTTGATATTGACACTCATTTCCGAGTCGAAATTTTGATCCTTGTCGAATTGTTGAACCTTGAATTCTATATTGCAGTAGGAGCTAAGATAGCAAAGTAAGTTTAATTCTAATAATATAATTTACTGTTACTTTGACCCTGATGATGTCTGAAATATATGCAACAGATAAAATATTATATTTTGTATGCTATTTGATGTTTCTGTCTCGTTATTTATTAAAATTTTTAAATATTTCTATAAAATACATATCATAAAATTCTATAAAATACATATATTCTATGTAGGAGCTAAAGCTTCAGTAGAGGTTTGCAACCGAACCTACTTTGCTTTCTAAGATTCTACTATTATACAACCTACTTTGACTCTAAAGAAAGCGAAAGCGGAAATTTCAGACATCATCAGAATTAAAATAGCAGTAAATTATATCATTAGAATTAAATCTACTTTGCCATCTTAGCTCCTACTGTGGTGTAAAATTCAAAGTTCAACATAGGGTCAAAATTTCGACGCGGGAACAATTTCATAAATAAACAGAGTAGTATAAATACACTGAAAGTAATATTGCTTCACTAGAAAAAAACAACTAAAATTACGGATGTAAAAATGGGAAAACAGCAAGAATACTACTAACGCAAAATAGCACAAAAATTTAAGATAATCACAAAAATATTAGTTATATTACGATAAACTTAATTTGTCCAGTATTATTATTAAGTAAATTGAACTTGCGTACGTTATGCCGTGATGTTTTAGTTCCTCTTTCAAATCAGTAATCAATGTTGGAATCAAGTCTTTGAAAATTTTTTCATTCCGCGTATCTTGTTCGACTACCAGGATAATATCGGCTTGATTTTTTGGAGTCTTGACACTGAAGCTGTCACCAACATTGATCGTGTTTCCGCCAACTTTGCAGCTTACTAAAATATCAAAAACCATTGAATTTAATCTTAAAAGTAAATCGATACATACTTAGCTTTTAAAAAATTGTATCTTTATTAAAAAAAATAAAGTAAACGTATATTTCGCGTAAATCCATTATTACTATACTACAAAAAAAAAAAAAAAGAATAGTCGAAACAAATTGAATCGAATTAAATGAACTCAATTTAAGAATTTTACTTGTTAAGCTATCTTAATTTTTCCAACAAAATTTTTATGTCCTTTTAATTTCTTGTTTGTGTAAAACGAGTTCAAAAGCTAATTCAATGAAGCAATCATCAAATAGACAATATATTACTGATCGTATTTATCATCTGATTTATTTAATTCTGCAGGGTTAGAGTTGCTCATATTCTGCAGTTAGAACCTTTTGGTGATTGAAAGAACATCTATATCATATATATTTGTTATTTTTCAATCAGGATTGGGAAAGTTACTTTTGAAAAATAATTAATTATTATATTACTCATTACTTATTCAAAAAAGTAACATATTATTCACAATATGAATTATACACGTTGCTGTTACTTGAAATATATAATTAAATATATAATTTTGATACCGTTACTATAGTAAAAAAAAAAATGTTTTCTGTTAGTGAAAAAAATAATTTGTAACGACAATGGTATTACAAGTAACGTATTACTTCTCAACTCTTGGTTTCAGCGTTAATCTTTTATTGTTAATTAAATTTTGAAATTCAAATTCTCATGTCAGATCGCAGGATTTTTACTCAATTTAATTGATTGCTGTAGAGTAACATTTATGTAAAAATCCTGAGAATTAATTCTTTAATCTAATTTCTTTTCAATGTAAAAAACACGCTTAATATCTGTGTATTATATCCTAGACGAACGAGTCAATTTGTCTCTGACAAGAGCTACTTTTCTTGTATTAATACACCACATTAATGTTATACTGGCACATGGAAAAGGGCACCGCACAAGTCAACAATCCAACTTACCGCAAGTGGACGGAATGTGTATACCACGGCGGACGCCTTTCTTATGGTAGCAACCACTGAAGTACTGCGTGGCAATTAGGCAAGGAGCTTGCGGATTCGTCGTGACTGCGGTGTCGCAAACGTCTCGATAAATACTCGGATTGACGTAATTGAAGCAACGTCTAAAGTGTCATAGAAGAATATGTAAATGATCACGTTGCCTCCGAGTGACACGCGCAATACTCGGACAATTAGACGTAATGGTTCATTTTATTAACTACGTAATATACGATAACACAACATGTAATAATATTTAAAAAATGCGCTTACTTCAAGCTGGACTTATCCCCGGAGAAGTATTCGGTACAGACTGGGTTACGCTGCTGAGTTTTGTGATCGATCGTGTTCACAGCCGCGCAATCCAACTTCCTGTATGCATTGGCGAATTCAGTCTCACTCTCGGTGATCTGTTTCAATTGCGGAGAAGGTGTTTTAGAGATCATTGCAAATATGTAAATTTTCCGCCGTTCTTATTTCGCAAAGTTTTTTGTTCCGACATGCTCGCGTCATAGATTTTATTGTTAGAAGAAGCCTAAGCACACACACAGGATAGAAAATTACGATGACGTAAAAATGACGAATATATACATACATATATATATATATATATATATATATATATATATATATATATATATATATATATATATCATCGTTACTAAACCATTATTGAAAAAAATAACTTCAATAGTGATCCCTAATAGTGTTACAAGTAACACGTATTAATTTCCAATACAAAATCAAAATTAAATCATGATTGAAAAGTAAGCTTTTTAGTCATTTTCTCGTCATTTTTTTATCATAATTTTTTGTCTTGCCTGAAACACTTAATCCACTATAAGATTATTAGATAAAAAAAGGAAATGCTTACATATTAAAATATTCCAGGTAGAGGTCATGATTATTACGACTGCAGATAGATGAAAACTTTACAATTTTTTAAATTACGTTTATGAATCAAATATTGTATTGAATTGAATTAATTGTTATGTATTGAATTAATCATTAAATTTACATCATACAATAACGCTACATTGATGCATCAATAAATTTACTAAAAGTTATATTCTTACATTTTTGTGTTACATTTTACATAATAAAAATAATAAAAATTTATTTTATTGTTTTGAGTAAATTTTGATCTTTTGTCGTATTTTTTTCGTATTTCTTTCATATTTCGTTATTTTACATGATAAAAATAATAAAAAAATACGAGTGCCACATAAACCATTTATAAAAAACATAGCTTTTTTAAATCGAGTAGTAAACAATAAGCAAAAAATTATTAATTAAACGTTATTGCAACGATATTTAGTAACATGTAACGTTTTCTAATATATAGTTTTTAACGTTGTAGCAACATTATTACGAATAACTTCGACACTTTAATATTTCTAAAGCGTTTTTGCAAAGGGATCGTATTACCCGGTAATATTTTTAAAATGTTTTTAAAATATTAAACGAAAATGTTTAAGAGATATGAAATGTTTAAGAGAGATTAGCGTAAAATCAACATTTCAAGATGTTGATCTTCTTTGTTTACTAAGAAGTTGCTACTAAATTTACGTACGCCTGTCTATCTGTCTTTGTTAAAAAAGAGAAAGAAGGCTGATATGGTCGTTCTACTTTCAAACTATCGAAGTTAGATACCCATCTCGCAACAAAAGAACCCCGATCCCCTTGGGATTTCACGATCCTATCAAGAAACGAACGTCATTCCACGTCGACATTTGTTTATTGATCGAAGTGAAAACTTTTGAATAAATACCAAAAGCAAAAGCGCATATAAAGGAGGAGATGATTTATAGTCTCGCGATATCACCGTGCGGATTTCTATAAATGGAAGCTCGATGGCGAGGAAATGAGGAACGAGGTTTCAGTCGGAAACAGATTATGTTAAATATTTATAACGTGTCTACATCTTTAATTCAACTTTCGGCGTGTTTGCGTGGTCAATTTCGACTTTCCTTTTCATCGTGAAATTACATAAAGAGCGCTCATTATTCATCTCCATTTCTAAAGCGCAAGTTACGGGCAATCTATTTTCCTTTAATCAGTCACGTTTTAAAAATAATTTGTATCAATTACTCAATCTTGATAAGAAGGATTAAGAAAAAATTGTTTCAGCTCTTCACGCACGAATATCGTACGTTAAATAAGCAAAATTACAATTTATGTTTAATTTATACTATTATAATTTTTATAGAATGGCTCATAGCTTTTGTAAAATATTTTAATAGTTTACCTTCGATAATAGTTTAGTGAAGTTTAATTGAAGTTGGAAATTTTAATACGGAAATGTCGAGAAATATTATCATTTATCATATTTTTTACATTTTTAATATTGTCTTTGTAACTAAGTTTTCAATTAGAATTCTGGTGAAACATACATTTAAAACCAGATTAAAAATGTAATTTTTAACTTTCTGAAGTTTAATTTGTGAAAAGGCTATCTTTTTCATCAGCCTGTAACTCGAAAATGCCCCAATATTTTTGTATTAGGATTCTTGACTGCAATTAAGATTTCTAATCATTCATCATGCTCTCATCAACTCTCGATTGATGACATCAAAAGCGAGAAAATACATGATATATTCTAATAAATTCAATAAAATCAACAAAATAGAAGAGACTAGGTCTAGGTAACCCCAAAAATATATTGTTTATATGCTTTTTTAGTATTTATTTTAAGAGAAACAATGAGAGGGGATGTACAAAATCACGAACTGGTTCTTTTAGAAAACATATATACAAGATATTTCAGATCAATATTTTTAAACTTCGTGAGAGCGTAGGATGGAATGAGGTGAATATAAAAGTCCAATATCATTTTGCAATATTCGTAATAAATCTCGAGATATTAATTAAAGAAGATTAGTGAATGATTACGCACGATATGGTAGATGAGCTGTAGTGGCGATGTGTGCTATTATGTGCTTGTACATTAAGTCAAATTGAACAAGAAATCCTTTATCATTTTGCAAACAACCACATAGATTTTTAATTATTTATGAAAAAATATTGTTACATGATTGTGTGCGATAATACACAAATTTTTTTTAATTAATATCTACAAATCTATGGGACACTCTGTATACTTTTCCCTGCGTTTCATTAAAATCGGAATAATATTACAAATAAAAAATAGAAAAAACTGATTTAGTAGTAAGGTAAATTTTCAAGCCTCTCGAAATTTTGTGTTAATATTTTCTATCGTGAGTGAATAAAATTAAGTAATGTGTTACCAGTAAGCTAGGAACATTAAATTAACGTTTAGAAATGTTGACTTCATGTGCATTATTTGAACATTTTTTAATAATATTGCATTTATATTTTTCACATGTTATTTTGTGATATGATTTTTCTGAATGTTGTTCAAACGTTTTAAAAGCATTACAAAAAATATATTTTTCAAATGTTACTTTAACATTTATTTGAGATGAATGTAACATTTTAAAAATATTTCTGACGATTAAAACGTTATGGCAACCCTATCTCAACATTATTGAAACTTCCAAATCGTGGTCAAAGTATGTTCACAATGATGTTCGATACAATATTAAACACTACATATTTGACAATATTACAGGTTCTTAAATATCATTGTAAAACGTTGTATTAGTGATTTCTTGATTACTGGTTTACTAACTGAAATGAAGTTTCTATAACAGTATGATATTACTGTATGATATAACTGTATGATATTATAATAAAAAAGAATTAAAATGGCTTTTGTACAATCAAAAAAAAGAAAGAATAAGAAAGAAAAGACGTTTGAGAGCCTGGGCACAAATTTAATAGTGCAATGAAAAAGTTGACATGGAACAAGTTATATATAATAATATTACTATTTTGGATAATAAAAGCAATTTTCATGTATAAAATGATTGAAATCGAGCGACTCAGGAGATTTCTCGCAGAAAATGTAGAACTACTAATTGGAATATATATTTTATACGTGAGCTTCTTTTTTATCTTTCTACTGCGCTACTGAACCTGGTATCAGAGCAAGATGGCCATAATGCTGCATATTTTAGTTATTAGTTAAAACAAAATATATGATTAACAAGATTGTGGTGGGCATTAACACATAGAAGAAGGCTGTCTAGGTTAGGCACCGTTTGTACAGGCAGTTACAACAATGAGTTGTTTGAGTAGTTATAACTTTGACATTCTGAAATATGAGATCTAGCTTCATTCTTCCGTACGTTGGAATAAAAAGATATAAAATGATACTTGCGATCGATTAAGCACATTTGTAAAATAGTTCAAACGCTTTCCTTTTGCTCTAACCATCAATAAATTACCGTAAAATCAACGTGATCTAGCCTATTTTTACTTATGATTTTATCATATCACTTTTACAGTCATTTACTGATATTAGAACAAAAGAAATCTTCGGACTGTTTCACACATCTACTCGATATCATGTTATGGATACATATTTTTATTTTTACGTATTTTGCAAGAATTTTTAGAGCTTGTATTTTCTCGCTCCTGAATCAAGTCATAAATCAAGATAGTCGCGGCGAGGACGCAGGAACCTCAAGTTCTAGAATATACTATTGAAATGTTATACAGTAATTCGAAAACATTCTGTATAATTTGGCAATTATCAAACGATCTGAAGAAATTTGTTTTTCAGTTCTGTGCGAGAAATTACATTTATTTAACGATAACACAAGCTTACCTTTCCGGACGGCAATGTGTAGTCGTCGTAATGCTCGAAGTTGCCATCGCCGAGAAGACCGCGTAATCTTCCATGGTAAAAACCGGATACATAGATTAGACAGCCCATCTGCCCTTCCATGGTGCATAGAACTTCCACTCCATAATTGGTTTCGACACACACGAAGGAGTGAGCTATTTCGTAGAATGCGTACAGGTTCTTCATTCTAACTGGGTACTCGGCCGGCTTGTTATTCACCAAGATCTGGAAAAGAAGAGAAAGAGAGACATGAGATTAGACACTTACGAACGAGAGGAGCTCAAGTAAGTTCGTGACGCGGGGGAATTTTAGCCAGGGCGAAAATGAGCAGTGTAGTTCGGAAAGGTAAGCCAAAGCAGCGAAGGGCAATTTTGTTCGCTATAATAAGGAAGACTGACGCACTGGTGAAGGGTGAACAAAGGTGATTTTTATTCCTGTCTCGCTTGCGGTCTATCTATAAAGGGGACGATGAGAGGATAATAGAGTTTGACTTGTCAGCGAAGTTTGGAGCCCCTTCGTAAACTTACAGAGTTACAGTTCAATACGGGATTGCATTATAAGGCTCGTACATAGAATACTATATGAGCGGTCCTCTCTCTTCCCATTTACGGTTCCTTTCTCTCCTGTTCCTCTCTCTCTTTCTTTCTCTCTCTCTCTCTCTCTCTCTCTCTCTCGGCACCGCGTTTGCCCCGATCTCGATTCACGTCACACACATTCGCCGACGTAACTTGACGACGTACCACAGGAAATTGGTTAAGAGATAAGAGAAATAAACTTACTTCTCTATTGTGCTTCAACGTGATGCTCTCTTTAGGCTCCGTAAGGGTCACGCTAATCAGACTGCCTTTGTTAAAGTTCGCCACGACGGAGAAATTGCCATCTAGCATGTCTTGGGCTAGAATATAACTGCAGTCACCTGGCATGCTAAAGGATTTACCGTCGAAGGTGATGAAGTGTCCGCCCTCTATGACGAAACCGAACTTTTTGAAGGGAGGCATGATTTCCATGGGATGATTTGGATCGAGACTGTTTATGGAATTAAAAAGTCATCGTTATATTTATATATCGTTAAAGGTATTGCTTTATCGTTACTACTTATTTATTTTTTAGCAACAATTTGCCCAGATAAACAGAAATGCTGCACATAGCATGAGCAAATATTTAATATATACCTTAAGATGCTGTTGCAGCAGCACATATGTTAAAAATATGCTTGTTTTAAGAAATACCCATTTATTGCGCCATAATTTTGACAAAAATATTTAGCGGTAAATTGACGAAATTGTACCGATCTCCTAAATTGCTCTCATTAATTTCTTTCTTTCTTATTAAAGTATATATTATAAAAGATATTCATAGAGATATAACCTTATTTAGACATTTACGATACAATCTTTATAAAATGACTTGATGCTACATTGAAAGAAATTATCCGATAAAAAATTAACAAAGAGATATTTTTGATTATTAAATACCGATGAATTTTTGTATTCAATTAAGAAACGTTGATGAGAAATATCAGTTCATCATTTTTTGATCGGTTTATCTAATGAAATGTCATTATGATCGGAAATATCCGATTAAATATAATCGGATCGAATATAAAAATTCATCAGTATTTTGATCGGAAATATCCGTTTGTTAATTTTTTATCGGGTAATTTCTCTCAGTATACTTATATGGTCTTTGTAAGAATAGTGTATATACATTATATTCCTTCATATTACAGATATTATCAATTTCTTTATTACTATTGAATGTGAATTGAATATCTAACGGTAAAAATGATAAACAAATAAGAAACGAGAAATATAAACAAAAAGTTTTCAAATTATACCTTATTTTGTATGCGTACTACATATTATAAATATTAAAAAAAAAAAGCAGGATTAATGAGGTACGATTTAGGAGGCTGGTATGATTTCAGATAAATTTCCTCTATTTTTTATTATTAGAATACTATCAGATAGATTGCGTTCTCGTCTCAGAAAAATAAGCAACAATTTTCATGACATTAGATAACTTCTTTTATGTGCTGATAAAATGCTTATTATATGAGCATTCACGATAAATTATTAGTTACGAATTTTAACACCAGAAAGACAAGACAACATAATAAAACATGACGAATACATATACAATATTGTTCAAAAGTTTCATCACACCGCTAAATTTTGCTAATATTCTTTTTTGTTTTCATTTTCCATGCATAAAATATAAAATTATGAATGTTCCCTTCTTTTTTATCATTATATTTACACAATTGCTGCAAAATTACTATAAATATTAATCCTAAATATTATAAATATGATTTGATTTTTTTAAAGCCTTGATTGTAATCCAATTGTTACTTGTTATGGGATCATTTAAATCATATAATTCAAATAAAAATAACCAGTAAAAATCATTTCTGACGAATTCTTCGAAAGAAAATTGATGCTTAGATACTTGAAAAATTTATTAATAGAATACTATAGGCGTTTACGTCGTTGTTATCAAAACACGAAAAGATTACTTCGAAGAATCAAACATTGAAAAAAGATTTTTCTTTTAGATTGAATGTCTAATATTAAATTAATAATATGTGTTAAAATACGCTTTCTATGTAATAAAAACTCACAAATAGAAAGTTTTGAGCGATAGTATACATAATATAAAAAGAAAGATGGACGAACCTGTGTGAATATCGAATAATAGGAACGTTTGAAATACCTGAAATCATAATATAGATCTTCGAGCGTCGGGAATTCCTTGTTGCGTAACCGTTCGAGGAGAGACACTTTTAGCGAGGTAATCGTCGGTATTTTCGCCATCATACCGATATCAACAGGAAGTTTAGTTTGCAGCATCTCGTACAGATTATCCGTGTTGGTTTCCGTTTCCAAAACATGGATAATAGATCGAAGTGCCTCGATCGCGAGTAAATAAATCTTTTTGATCTCATTGGTGTCGTCGACCTGCACAAGACGAATACGTTTTGCAGTTTAAATAACTTACCAGTTATTCGTGATAAAAATTGGCGAATCTGACGTAATAAGACCATTCGGTGACCTACCTTTTCGTGCTTTGCGTGTTTTACGATGTACTGCTGAATAGCTTCGACGAACTGTCGAAGTTCCTCGGTCGGCAGTGTAGCCTTTACGGCGTTGCAGATGTTGTCGAAGGAGTCCATCACGCTTTGCGGTATTTGGAATTTAAGGATCTCATTGTACTTTTCCTTGGCGATCTCATAAATTGGTAATGCCTTCATTTGATCCGTCAGCAATACAACGAACTCGTCGATGTCCTTCCTAATCTGATTAGCAGCCTTGAATATGATCTTAGCGATATCCTGCACGAGCTCCGATGCCATAATAGCTAATTCCTTCAGCTCCTTCTGATGTTCGTTAATCAAGTCAAGAGCGGCTTTAAGGTAGGCGATCGCAACATTCACGGCAGCATCGAAGATATTGATGCACGTGCGAATTGCCTCCTTGTACAATTTTGTGAGTTGCGGTAAAACGGCCATTGATGCATCTTTCAATTTAGCAACTATTTCTTCGAATTGCTTTCGCAGTTCTTCCAGTCGCACGATTACTTGTTTAAAGGTGCTTGTCACAGCGGCGATGATAGCTCCAAAGTGTTTCTCCCTAGAAGAATATGATCGATAGTACACGACGGATCTACAAATACTCTGAATTTCAATTCACGAAAATACCGATGTGATGTACACGCGTGTATGATCGTTTATTCATTGTTTTATTAATATTTATAGTTTATTAATAATAGTTATTATTTAAATGCAAGCAAACTCGATATTGCGTGTGTGTCTTTATATACAGAGTGTCCCAGATCTCCTCCGCAATTTTGCGGATATTGCGAATATAGTAAAACAGTATGGGACTTTTATGTTCACTTCAATCTGTTCTACACGGAGAAAAATAATTTGCTGGCCCAGCAAATTTTCTGTTGGTCTAGCAAAATCTTTTCGTTATTATATGGCAAAAAGATTTGCTAAGAGTACTAATCACTATTTGCTGGATATAATTTGCTGAATCTACAAATTATTTTGCTATAAGAACCATGATGAATTTATATAAGCAGTTGCAGTTTTGCTCCGATAGCAAATAAATTTGTTAAGGATACATTATTTTGTATCAATAGCAAATTAACGTGATTCTTAGGACAGATACATTCAACAAATTTTTTCTATCTTGGCAACAAAACTACATCTGCTCTGATAACGAATAATTTGTAAAATTGATTACGTCAACTAAATTCTTTTAACGTCACTACGAATATGCAATAGCAACGACGATTTTGCTAAAAGAGCAAAATTATTTTTCTTCGTATACGTTTCTATAAAAATTGCGGAGGAGAGTTTGAGACATTCTGTGTATATACAGGGTGGCCCACGTAAAGTGTTACAAATTAATAACTCTAAACATATTTGTCCCATCAAAAAGTTGCTCATGAGAAAGTTTCATATATTCGAGGGACTTTTCTAACTACGTAAACAAAAATCCACTTCCGTTTCCCTTTGAAGAGAGGCAGGGGATAACTTCAAAGTTTCAAATGGGATCCCTTATACAATGTTACATATTTGGATTCTACGGGAAAAAACAAGTAAACTTTGTCTGAAATATTTCTTTGGAAAATGCTCAAAAGTTATAAACATTTAAACTTGCCACTCTGTATATATGTATATATATGTACAAGGTGTCTGACAATATATATATATATATATATATATATATATATATATTTATTTATTTATTTTGTGTATGACGTGTTCCACGACATTGCATGAACTGGTTCGCTAATTTTTTTTTTCCTTAATATATCGAAATACTATATGATTGTTTGAAAAATGCTAGAGACATTTCTTGTTCAGTTTTACCTAATTTACCTGCATGACATGTCTTGCGTCAGACATCTTGTGTATGTATATGTGTGTTGTATATAGCTGTCCAATTTCCACCATATTATATTTTAATGACAGATTCGTTGGTTAATTTGGAGTCAAATTCTCTTTAGCAAAAATGTCGATGCATAGACAATCTTTGAATTATAAGAGAATGATTATAAGAAAAGAACTTCGTAAACTTTAGAAAGCCGAATAGATATCAAAACTACGTTTACAGCTAATTTCAAGTACAGAAAGAGAGAGAAAGTATGTGCGTTGATAAAATTTAAATTAAATTATAAAATTTAATTTTTAATTTTAATATAATTTTAACTTATTTGTAATTTAATTTGTTTAACTATATATACATAAAATAAATAATAAAAATAATAAAAAATCAACACTTGCCAAAAGCGATTATCTCTCAAGATTTTCGTTAATTAAAGGAAAAAACTCCAATTTATTCAGAGAATCTATCATTATAAAACAAGAAGCGATAGAAATGGAACTATATATGTAATATTATTAAGTTCATACAAAGTAGCCTGGATATCTTTAACGGTTTGGTCAGCATTGAGTTCGTTCTTTAGCTTAGTCAATTCAGTCTGGTAATAATCCAGAACATGTTTGGTGTTCGGTTTGGAACTGTCCAAATGTTTGATGAAATCCTTCAATTCTTCCGTGACTTCACTTCCGATTTCGTCATTGATCTCCTTCAGCTGCTTGAATATCTCAGTGCTTTGGTGTCGAGTAAGTTCCTAAATGATATCATGACTAGTAAAATAGAAAAAAAACCGAACGAATGTCGAAGAATTATATACGACGATAATTATATTCACCATTACGTAGGCAATGTTGTCCTTGTTGTAGGCGAAGTCAGGCTTCAGGAACTTTCCTTCGTCGAGATGGATCAAGGCGTGGAAAAGATTCTTCTTCGCACCGTCTTTGAAAGCGTCGGCGTGAATCTCGGCCAATTGTCCGATCACGAGGCGTCCATCAGCAGTTACCTTTGTATTGGGATTATCTAACAGATGTTACGAAATTAACACAAATTCATAAATTCACTCTAAAATTTTAAAAATATATTGGATTAGTTATCAATAACTTCAACTTATGTCCGTCTTAATTTGTAGCATCATACATCTTTACTCGTGTTTAATCTATTAATCTACAAATTACTTGATGTTTGTTATAAGAATAATCGAATTTATTCAGTACTATTGTGATGATTTGAACTTAAAAGTTCCTCAATAACCTTATTCGATCCGTAAAATTGATATTTTTTCGCATAATATACAAGAACTAAGGTATAGATGTATAATTTCTTACTTATAATTGAAATATTAAAAATTAAAGTTGATATTTTTATACGTATTTTTTAAGAGTTTTGTGGTATGCTATTTTTAAATCTTATTTTAATTTCTTATAAATTAAAATAAGAATTTTAATGAAAGAATTACTATCACGAAAAATATACCGACATTATATACAAATTTAAAAATTATTTATCGTTTTGTTTGGAAAATACAGTTTGGAAATATCTAGGAAATATCTAGGAAGTTCATAATTTATAATAATACTCGAGATGCATATATATATGTACATCTTTCTTTGTCCATACATTAGATCAATTCTTTCTATTGTCTATGCACCAACTGATGTACAAATGAAATATAATAAAAATAATTTAAAATAATTTAAAAAATATGTTTTTCGTATTTGTGTAATATTATGTATATATATTCATCTCAACTTTGCCTCAAATTAACATCTATTATTTAGATAATGAAATTAATGTATAGAAACGTAATTTTGTTCGATAAATAGCAAGTTTATGAGTCTTTTAAATGAACCATTGAAAATACGACTCTTACAACCTTCTTTAAATGAATAACGGTAATTGTAAGGAGTCACTTACTTTTCTTTCAATCGACGATGCATAATAGTTAGGGATTTACTTCTAATTTAATTCTAAAAAAAAATTAATATTAAATGTAAAGAACAATAAGAGTTAAAGCACAGGTCGAATAATGCTATTAAAACTATTAAAAAAATAGTGACCCAATCTCACAATAAGAAGAAATTTATTAATCATCAAACAATCAAACGCGTTTCGGTCTAACTTCACAGACCATCTTCAGTGATTACAAATAAAAAAACGAATTATATTTAAATGTCACAAACATAAGGTCGCAAATAATCGGTATAAGGTTGTTGTTACAAAAGTTATCGCTACAGATTTTGTAGATGAAGAAGATAGTCTGTGAAGTTAGACCGAAACGCGTTTGATTGTTTGATGATTAATAAATTTCTTCTCATTGTGAGATTGGGTCACTATTTTTTTTAATAGTTTTAATAGCACTATTCGACCTGTGCTTTAACTCTTATTGTCCTTTACATTTAATATTGATTATACTCAAGAAGAGTTTTTATTTCTTTTAGTTAAAAAAAAAAAAATTAACTCTCCTAAAATCCTCAACCTACCTTGCTGGTATTCCAGATACTTGAAATTGTTCAAGTCGTGCGCCTCGAAATTCACTATGTAGGGTTTGTTGCCGGCTATCGCAATCTCGGTGTCAAGCTTTTGCAGGTTCTTCTGTAGCTGAAGCTTCGCATCGACTTTGATGATCTCCTTATGCGGCGCGGTCGCAAGAAGATATATTTTCGAGCAATCCGCAGAGAATAGGATGCCCGCGTTCTTTAATTTCTGATGTCGATCTAGGTATGTTAAGAAGCTACCGAAACCGACCGAGTTCTTTGTGAGTGCCACGTGCGATTTCAGATCCACTTTCAAATGCTGCCCACGGCTAATCATCTCGAACATGCTGGTGACATTGTAGCCCGAGTCGATCTGCTGTTGGTTGACCTTCGCCACAACGGTGATCTTTTGCGTCTTCTTGCTAAACACGTCGATATCCACGTTCGCGTCTAGCAAATGCTCGCCACCACAGTGTATTCTACCTTTCACCGCCATATCCTGCACGAGGGATATTCGTGATTATTATCATGGGCTCATCCTTACTCGTTTAAGCATGATCGAAATTAAAAAAGATATTTTTTTAGTACGCGAAGTAAGAACGAGGAACGAATTGAAAGAAGTAAAAGTAAAATGGAGAACGTGTATCGCGCCTTCTCTCTTTCTCTCTCATTCCGCCTTTTTTCTTTTTCTTTTTTTTATAGCCGTCGAGCCGCTCAACGAAACTCGATGTTCCCGCTAGATTGCGAGAAAATCGAAGGAAGGTAAGGTAACGGCTTTACCGGGAGGTGCTCTCTTTTCAGTTTTATTTTAAAACTACGACCTTATTCGCGCACGAAGATTGGGAGTAAAATCGCGAATGCTTTTTCAGACGAAGTCTGCGCATTCGTAATGTCGTAACGACGATATGGCTTTAAAAATTATTAAATTAGGAAGTACTCGCGCATCGAGCGATGTATCCAGAGAACATTAAGAGGGTATTCTAGTGTGATGTCCAAAAAATCGATTTTTTCTCTTTTACATATTTTTATAGTTTGGAGTCTTGAAAATATATCCCTACAATATTAAGATAAAATTCGTTAGATTGACCGAGTTATAAAGGTTTAAAAGACGCAGCCTCCGCGCGCTGACCGCGAGATGAATGACGAAGTGTTAAATGTCATCCAACCTATTTACGAAGATTTAACTACCGATTTATTATATTTATTAGCGATGCCTCGGATTATTTACTCAGAATAATAATAAAAGTTTAAATTCATTAATTTAGACATTTGCACCAAAACATCTGTATTGTGGAAAGAAGACTGTGTAAGTTGCAACTTTTTGGCTGTTTGCCTGTTTAATGAAGGATTTAATATAATTGTAAAAATAATGGACATAATAAGCCTAGAAATCGGCCAAAATGTAAAATTTCTCGCGGATAATAGAGACAACGAGCGCGTTAAACGTTCGAAGTAACGGGCGTCGTACGAGTCGAAAGAAGCAAGAATTGCCAAGAGATCAGAGAAAGCTGACAAACTTGGGTTCTTTGAAGTTGAGAAGATTTTTTGTATGGCCCTAGTATAGCTGATTAAGGGTAAGTTACTGAAATTACTCATTACCCACCTCATAAATATATGAGAATTTTTAAATATGTTTTTTTCGAAACGAAATTTTTCAAGTCGGGTGAGTATTTTTCTCGAAAACTACTGGGCCGATCAACTTGCAGTTTTACACACATATAGTGGACATATTAGACTATACTAGAATCTTTTTGAAATTTTTAAAATTACTATTTTTTCGGGCCGCAAAAAATTAGAATTTTTGAGTAAAAATCAGACTACTATTTTTGAAGTGCCGTCATTTTGTCAATTTTTCTTCAAATTATTTTATTCTAGTTCGGGCGATAGACACATTCATAAAGAATAAAATAAAACTAAATTAGTTTATTTCAGATGACGAGAATGGCGGCAATCAACTCGCCCAATAGAAGACGATTTTACGGCGTGATCTATTTCGTCCACTTATATTTTCCTTAATTTTAAATAAAAAGCTTTGACAAAATTTGAGATGTTTCTTCAAAGATGTAAAAATGTCAGTTCAAAATATTAACTCTATAGGTTTAACCATTTGCTTTAAATTAATTCCCAAAAATCGCCTTGAAAACGGGCCTTTACACTAGAATATCCCCTTAAAACGAGTTAAACTAACTCCGAGCTGTTATTTGGACATGCATTTGGCCATTGTGCGGATATGTACCTTCGGTTGCGACGGATACACAAATTTCATCTCTCCGTTGATAGATAGACTGTTCTTGTCGATGTTAGCGTCACCGACTGCGATGAGACCTGTCTTTTCGGACGGTTTGTTCTTTCTATCCAGGTAAAAACTGACTTCGATCTTGTACGCTCCGCTCTGCTTTGTCTTCGGCACATCGCATGTACCAATAAGGGCTAGTTCGCGAGTGGGCAATGTCAGAACGACACCTGCGAATGAGAGTGTAGTGTGATTCTTAATTTTTTAAATCCACGTTCGACTTCTCGTCCAGCTAATACTTAAATAGCACAGAGAATTAAAAAAGAATTAAAAAAGAATTCAGTCGTAAAATGTAGAAATATAGCAAAAATATTTCTGCTGCATTTTGAGCTGTTATGTAAAAGAAACGTTTCTGAGTAGGACATTAAACATATATGTTACGTATCTAATATGTAACGTTTACTATTTACACAGTGAGATTTCTTCAATTCTGAGTTCATTTTTAGATGCAAAAAAAATTCTTCAGAGTTTAGTTCAGTGAAAAGAATTCTTTTTGCACCCAAAAATGAACTCAGAATTGGTGATATCCGAAGAAATATTCGGTGAATGTGTATGTCTAAGTATCCTCGATAGGAATGCACTTATGAAATTTACGATGATATTATACGATGAAATCTGAATAAAATTTGTAATGCTGCAATTATGTGACTGCATTTGAAAAACTACTTTGTAGAAATGTCGATCGTTGAAATATTGATTGGTAAATATTTGCATAATTAATTTCTAAATAATATCTCAGCAAGACAGTAGTGATATATGGTAAATCATTTTAGCGGAATATTTGTAAAACTATATATTGTAAATATTTAGAAGAAAAATTGTCCGATAATTGAGAAACATTTCAGTTATATTATACTCTTAAAACGTTTAAAAATACAATTGTGCGTGAAGAAATAAAATTCATATATGTTTTTAAAAATGTGTTGTAATATGAAATATTACATATTCAAAATGGCAAAGTTTCAAATGAAGAATATATATGAAATGCGATTTTGGAGAAAACAGATAAATAAAAGATATATATATATATATATATATATATTGAAATACTTATGCGCTATATACACTTAAAATTCTCTTTTTCCTTCTTTCTTTTAAATTAACTAATATTTAACTAATTTACTAATTTCAATAGAAACATGCTTTGTCTAAAAATGTTGCAAATATTGCAAACTTATTGCTGTCTTACATTGTGAAAAATATTAGAAAAATATTATAATTTTGTTTTTAAATATTGAAATAATTGTGCACAATGATATATCAAATATTCTAAGTTATATTTATCTAATTTTGGAAAAATATTATTTTAAAATTATATTCCAACAAAACCGTTGCGTTATGATAAATTATCTTAGCGCAATCATATTGCATAAAATTATATTATAATATTTCATTTCATCGTGCTATTATTGTATAAAGTTTGGGCGACTTTTTTTATCGAGAACTACTATATCTTCTTGTAAATTTAAATTGTTATATTATTAAGTTATAATGTATTATAAATTATTACACTAAATTATAACACTAATATTCTAGGCCACAAAGCTTTTATTTGGCTATGCTTTCTCTTCATTTGGTTATATACCTAAAGAGAGTTTGTTCATATAATTTAGTCTTAATTTTTTTCATTTTATTAACCCGACATAGAAATGTTTATAGATTTTACCAAATTTTCTAAATTTACAATTTATGTAAATTTCAATAAGAATACCAAAATATGTAAAAAAAAATAAGTCGTCAAATATATAACTATACAATACAAGAAACTAGGAATTCCATTTTTATCCCAAACATTGATTCTAGAATTTAAACAAGGACATTATGAGGTCCTTAATATTTTTTAAATATAAATTCTTGTTTTTTATTATAAATTGTTTTTAATGTAAATTTTTGTCTTTTGTGTAAATTATATTTAGGGGAAAAAGTCAATATTTGTAGAATTAAATAGAGAATACCATTTTTATGGTAACTACTGAATTTAATATAATAAAAAATGAAAAAGAAAACTTATTAACACGCTAAACTATCAAACCTATTTGATTATTTATATGATATATATATTTATCAATTTATAATTGAAGAATACGAATACTGCACAAATGTTCTACATGATTTGTTTAATTCTAATATAAAATAAAAATAAAGCTTTCATACCGCTTTCCTTAGGATGAGCATATACATGGTAGGTGTACTCAGATTTGTCTTTCGACGAATGCAAATACAAGTTGACAGAATGATCGAATATGTCCTCCCTCAATTCTGTGTTTGTCTTCAGTCCGAATTCGACTGGCACGTTGAACTTTTTCAAGTCGACCTCTACCGTTAGTTGGTGTTTCAGATAATCCTTATCTGTAATAGGACAAACGAATTTACAAATTATGAAAAAGGCGATTGTATCGTGAGGAATCGAAGATTTTTGAAGATTTTTGGTAAGGAGAATAGAAAAAAGAAAGAAATTCTCTTTAGTGCAGATCCCAAACCAAAATATTTCTTGAAATCTTAGAGTAATAAAATTATCAATTAAAAATTTTATAATAAAAAAATAATGTCTTAATTCTTAATTTTATTTGTTCAATTAGTAATTATAATTATAATTTTTAATGGAAAAAGTTAAAAAAATTTTTGAGTTCTTAATAAAAAATATTTAATTCAACAATTTTAATTGAGAATTGAGATTTTAATTCTTTGTTAAATTTTTTCAACCGTGAATTAAATTTTTAATTTTTAATTAACATTTATTAATTGAGAATTTTGAACTCTTAATTTTCAATTAAATTTTCTAAGTTGGATATTAAAATTTTAGTTTTAAATTAAATTTTAATTGCATTAAACTATTATTTAACCAATCACAACTCTGCTTGCAACACATTCTTACGCATTGTAATGTTCCGTACATTTACATTTATCTGTGTGATTCTGCACGATTTTAAACTTATTCTTAACATTATTTTTGGAGAAATAGGGTAAGAGAGGCTCTGTAAGGCAAATTATTAGAAATCTTACAATAATAATTAATAATAATTCGCTGCCGAAATAAAGGATTATAAAATTATCATTGAGGCCGAATTAGATTTTCAGACTCCTTCGGTACTCCTTCGAGCTGAGGGACGTAATGACATTTCAACGATAAAATTAATCGGCGATAAAGCCGTTGATTGATCGAAACATCCGTTCGAGTATCCCTTTAACGGCTGTCAGGGAAGATCGTAAAGAGATCGTGACCGTTAACGGTACACTGTTGGAAGCTCGTTAAACCCTCGTCCGCGATTACGCGATTACGCGACATCCCAAGCCCGACCCTCGAGTTCGACTTCAATCGCGAAAATTTTATTTCCTGTGAAAAAATAGCTGGTGGCTCAATTTCTGCCTCGACCGCCAAATTGATCCCGAGGGAGAGAGAAAGAAACAGAGTGAAAGAAAGAAGAGAAGCAGGGAAGGAAGGAGAGAGAAGGCGAGAGAGAGAGAGCGAGAACGAGAGAGAGAGAGAGAGAGAGAGAGAAAAGAGGCAAAGTAAACTTTATGGCGCTATACGTCATGGCGCAGCGCTAGAAAGGATTAAGACGCGTACGTCAGCGGAGCACGCCCTTGCAGCGTGACGTCATTCAGCAACGGCGCAACTTATTTTTTCCTTGTATCGTCGTACAGGTGTACGCGCCACCGGTCACGCCTGTCTTCTCGCATCGCGGCATCCCTGCGATGCGATCTCGCGTTCGTCGACACTCTCTCTCTCTCTTTTTCTCTCTTCTTCCCCTCTCTCTCTCTCTCTCTCTCGAGTGAGAGAGAGAGGGGGGGGGAACAGGAAAAAGAAAAAGGTAGAAAAAGAAGAAAAAAAAATGAGGGAAAAAGGGAAGAAAAAAGAATCAGCGCACCGAGTTAATGCAGCGGCGCACCGTTGCACCCTGCCATGCAACGGCACAACCGTGTGAAGGTGCGATTCCAGGGTGCCTCTATTAATAACTGAGGCGAGGCACGAATTAGGTGCAGATCACGCGAGAATAGAATGCTATCGACCGGATGATCTGTAGTAGGACCACAAAACACCTTAAAGCGGCCAGGTGGCAGGCAGGCAAGCAGGCATGCCTTTCTTCCCTTCTCACCTCCTCCGCGAGATCTCGTTACGTACGCGTGTACGTGGGCTATTGCGACATATTGCGCATTCATGCGAAATATATCGTTATGCGTGGTTATCGCGGAACGTCCCGGGCGTTCTGGATGCTTACATCGGACCAGGGGACCCACATGGCGAAAGTTCTTTTTTCTAATTATTCAGGAGGGGATGCACGCATGGAGGTGGATGGACGAAAGTGTGTACAACGTGATAAGGATGATTTCCTGAGAGACGTGGAACGGACGTTGTACGCTCATGCGTTTCGGTATTTCTCCACGCAGCCTGCAGGGTTTATTACAGGGGTTTCCGTCAAGAGCGCGGTGTGTTTCCTTTATTTTCAGGCTTCTTGTGCGCCAGGCGTGTTTTAATAAAGGGCTTGCTCGACACGCAAGCCAGCCGTATTATCGAGGCGACGTATTTCCAGGAACCGGCAATGCCCCGTCGTTCTCTTATTTGCGGAACGAGCCTTTAATATAATTCAATCGCTATAAATTTCAAATGATTACGCGGGAACAATGAATTTGATCGTCTGATTTTTATCAACTGCACAATTCTTCATGCCTCTTTCACTTTGACACTTACGAGAAAAAAAAATATATAACGTATTTAAGAGGATCTCTTGCAAATTATATATTTTTACAACAACAAACAATAATCAAAATATTAAGAAATCATACCGAATAGTAAGATGATAAATATTATATTATGTAGAAATGCAAAAAATATCAATTACATGTAAACTGAGTTTTCCTTGACTTCCTTCGACTGTCGCGATGACCGAATGTTAAACAAACTCGACGGAACCGACGAAAGAGATAATATCGCAAAATATAAGTTTGCGTAAAAACTACACGCTTGATCTCCATTAACTATAAACTATCTGTACTATTTTTTTTCTATTTTAAGAACAAGATGAAGTTAATTAATATACATTATTTAAAATATTTCGGAGTTATATTTTTTTACAATAACAAGAGCAATAAGTAAAGTCATATATAAAAAAATAAATTAGATCTTATGTTAAATCTCTCTCTTTCTCTTTCACTCTCTTTCTCTCCCTCTCTCTCTCGACTCGACCTTCGACTTTTAAAAGTTAAAAACATTCAATGGAAAGAGAGAATATTATAAACTATAAGCGCAAATCTAGCAAGCTGTGGAGAAGCATATAAAGTTATAAGGGAAACGAGATACTTCATTCGGGATAGTAAGCTTAAAGTCAACTTACCCTATTTGATTAAATTTGTCTCAGGATTTTTAACACGTATATACTTAGTTGCAAAAACAAAAATTAGACACAAATTGGAATCTCACAAAACTGTCAAAATTGAAAGTCATTATTGCGATCGACTTGCACAGTAATTATATTATTTATTATTATTATGATTATTATTATTTATCTTTATTAATTATATTGATTATATTACTGTGTAAACTCGTCGGTGCATAAAAATTACCATTTTACTGCTAAGAAAAGCGATTACTCAGTTAATTTTTTTTTATTAAATAATAGTCTTCTATATATTTTATTAAATAATTATCTTCTATATATATACAAAAAATATTTTTTTGATAATAGTTTTAAAACAAAATTATTACAAATTTTAGAAAGGTTTATTAACAATATATTTAAAATAAAAATTTATTCTTTTTACAAGAATATAAAATTATATCGCAGAAACAATTGACTAAATTTTATGTTATGAACAAACAAAATTTTTATTTTAATTTAATTTAATTTAATTTATTTTAATTTATGTTCTTAGTTGAAATAATAAATTTACTAGGATTTCAATCTTACTAGAGTATATTTGAAATAAATTTGATGTTTATGATAGATTCGCGGAGTATTTTATAAATTTATAAAATACTTGAAACAAGCAGTTTGCAAATATCTTGATACAATTATCCAGGCGATCATCCAAATGAAGAAAATAAATCATCTTTATCTGTATCTAAATGAAAAATACAAAGTATACATATTTTCATCTTCATCTTACAAGTGGACTGTCCCAACCCGCCGCGTTAGATTTGACTAATTTATATATATATTGTAGTAATTCCTTTCCTCTAAACACAAAAACTCTAATATAAAATGTGTTTTACAAACTTACAACTTACAAACTTTATTTTCGTACAATTCTGTTTAAAAAATGATAATAATACTGGCATGATAGTGCGAGTGATAATAATACTGGGATGATAATTGGCTAATTCATATATTAATAATTTCTTTTATTTTATATTTCAAAAAAAGAATAAAAAAATTGGAGCAAGCCGAAATCGAACGCACGACATCGAGCGTTCTAGCCGCGTTGCTTACTCACTGCGCCACGCTGATTACTTGAATTTCGCTTCGTACTCTAGGCACATGGAAAACTTTCAACGCCGATTCCTCGTTAACTAGTGCTCATTAGCGATTAAGAGTTATACGAGCTGTATTTAGAGGAAAGGGATTACTACAATATATATAAATATTAATCAAATCTAACGCGGTTGGGACAGTCCCCTTGTTAGTTGAAAAAATGTATTATTTTAACTAACAATTATCTAGATAATGTTATGCATTTTGCAAAAGTCTGTTTTCTTGGCTTATATGTTAAGAAGTCAATTTAATAAGTATGCACACACATACGAATGTGTTAAAGCCTAGTAAATTTTAAATAAAACAAAGCGAATCAGAATATAGATTGTGTATACTCCTGGGTGTATCAAAATCTTTATTTTTAGAATAAGGAGTTTTAACAAGATTTCAATTAGCTCGGCGTCAGATATCGCGTTTTAAAAGAATGGAGCGCAAAGAATTCATCTATGCAAGGATATATATATATATATATATATATATATATATATATATATAT